ATATATTATGAAAATGGGACAAGTTTTAATTTACCGACACTTGGGATTCCTCCAAAGAAGGAAACAGCAACCGCTGCTGACAACACTACTGGCTAAGATGCCCAAAAAAGGGCAATTAATTATAGCCCATGGAGTCAACTTCATCTTTTCTTTCGAATATTCGTAAGCCTCCTCCTGATGCATCAATTTGGTACATGTTCAATATAATCCACTCAATCGAAACAGAGAACAACTCAAGTTGACCTACGTTCAGCATAGACAAGAGGAATGAAACACATCATTCAAGTTCCTCTGCTTTTGATTTTAGTTTCATGGACTAATTCCGAATCAATCCATGAAGAGTTCATGCAATGCATGTTAACAGAGTCTACAGCCTTCACCAAAAGCGTCCAAATCATTTTCACTCCAGATTCCTCATTATATTCATCTGTCCTGAAATCTAACCAGCAAAATCCCGAGATTTTTAAACTCGTCAACACTGAAACCCCTTATGATCATCACACCTTTCCATGAGTCTGAAATCCAAGCAGCTGTTGTTTGTAGCAGAAACCATGGCCTGCAGATCAGGGTTCGAAGCGGAGGCCATGACTACGAAGGCCTCTCTTACAATTGCCAAACCCCATTTATCATAATCGACCTCATCAATCTGAGATCAATAGAGATCAATATAAACGATGAAACAGCTTGGGTTCAGTCAGGGGCAACACTTGGTGAACTTTACTATGCGATAGGTACGAAAAGCAGTATTCATGCGTTCCCTGCTGGGATATGCCCGACGGTAGGTGTTGGTGGACACTTTAGTGGAGGTGGGTTCGGCACCTTGTTGAGGAAATATGGGCTTGCAGCAGATAATGTACTGGACGCTTCCTTGATTGATGTCAATGGAAGAATTCTGGACAGAAAAGCAATGGGTGAGGATCTGTTTTGGGCCATCAGGGGAGGAGGTGGGGCAAGCTTTGGCATCATACTTTCCTGGAAAATCAAGCTGGTTAGAGTACCAGAAATCATCACAGCTTTCACCGTTTCAAGAACCCTAGAACAGGGTGCCACGGAGCTCGTTCATAAATGGCAATATATTGCAGATAAATTGGATGGAGATCTCTTCATCAGAATCATCATTCAGAACGCGGATGGAAGTAATAAAACCATCAAAGCTTCTTTCAACTCACTGTTTCTTGGAGGAATCGACAGACTGATGCCACCGATGAATCAAAGCTTCCCTGAACTGGGATTCAAGGCTGAGGACTGCTTTCAAATGAGTTGGATTGAATCCGCAGTCTATTTTGCCGGTTTCCAAAAGGGGCAGCCTCCAGAGGTTTTGCTAGGCAAGACCGAACTATACAAGAGCTACTTCAAGGCAAAATCTGACTTTGTCATTGAACCAATATCTGAAGAAGGACTTGAAGGAATATGGGAAAGATTTTTGGAAGAAGAGATGGTTTTCATGATAATGGATCCTTATGGAGGAAAAATGAATGAGATTGCAGAAAATGAGGTACCATTTCCCCATAGAAAAGGCAATCTGTACGATGTACAATACTTGGTGAAATGGGAAGTGGATGGGGTAAAGGATACTAACAGACATGTGCACTGGATCAGGGTGCTATACAAATACATGAGGCCTCGTGTTTCAAGATCTCCAGGGGCTGCTTACCTTAACTAGAGGGATCTCGATTTGGGGACCAACAAATTGGGCAGCACAAACTACTCGGAGGTAAGCGCATGGGGCATGAAGTACTTCAAAGGTAATTTCAGAAGATTGGCACAGGTGAAGAGCTTGATTGATCCAGAAAATTTCTTCAGAAACGAACAGAGCATTCCACCTCTTCCAGGAACAAAGGAAACACCAGAGAAATAGACAGTGTTTCCGAAACCTCTTGTATTCTCCTTGCATAATTAGAGGCTGACAAGAAAAAGCAGTTCTCTCGTTGTCTCCTGCAGATTATCAGAATACGAGCAAAAAAGTGTTTCCATTAAAATTCAACCTCCAGTTCTGAAAGCTCAGTGAAATGCCAAGAAAAAATCAAACCTACCATAATGAACATTATTAAGAAACAAAAACAACAAAATTTTGAATTCCATTACTCACTTCAACAGTTAAAATATTCGTTTTTCGGATGTCAAAATTTTGTGCTACAAAACATCAATCTGAATCTCCAAGGTCAGTCTTCTGATAAGAACTACATTATTTTCGTCAGACATTTACGAGCCAAGACAACTCATCAGTCACAAATGGTGGTCAAAGCCCACCAGTGTGAAAAACTGCTCAGGGACTACCATACATAAATCCTCATCTAACAAAGCATTTTGCATAAACTAATATATTTCTGCAAAAACACTGTCTCTTCGTCTAGGAATGCACCTTTCTCACTTTGAAATTACACCAGTTGATTGAAGGAGGCTAATTGTCAAGGCTCGTTGCTCCTCAGTTAACGAATGAAGCCAGCTTCCAATAAGATCAACAGGACCTGAATGACTTGCAATCTCTGGAGGCTTTGTATTATCCTTAACAACTTCCACTACACTGAAAGGAAGAAGCCCAAGCATAGCAGAAATGGTTGCAATCTGGATTGGAAGACCAGCTCTGATGGTAGTATCCCGCCACAAAAAAACAGACAATTGACTTCTTAAGTTCTCCATCCCTTTATCTTCATATCCAACTGCATCAACTCCAAGCCTGAAAATCAGAAATGGTTTAGTATTGTTCTTTCTATTATCTTTTTCAATCACTTCAAAATCTAAAAGGATTTCTACAGAAGAGTTTTAATCCACAACAAATTAGACTCCCAATACTAAAAGGAAAAAAAAATATAGGCAACAAGAAGGAAAAGAACATAGAAACTTGTAGAAATGATAACTATTCACAAAGCTCCTTCCTCCAAGCATCCCAAAAATATAAGGATTAGATCTGTAAACAATAGATTTCAATCTTTCTTAGTGTTCTGACTAGTTTGCTTCTATAATTAGTTTCCGGGTAAATATTATAGACAAATCTTCCATCAAATGCAGTATATATATATATATATATATTTTAAGCATAAGCTTACCTCCCTAGTTGACCAAGAAGAATGAGAATAGAAACAGTCAAGCCATCAGGCAGTGGTGAATCCAACATTCTCAACAGCGGTGTGATGATTTCACTGCATGTCCAAGTCCAGCTCTGCATTAAGATGGGAAACATAAATAACAAATATTGGCTCAGCGCTGAGTTCTGTAATTCTTAAACGGTAAAAATTTTATCCAATAGATAAACCAAGCTTACAAAGAGAACCTTCCATCTAAGCAAGAATTTTCACTTTCATGGCAAAAAATGAAATATAAAAGGAAAAGCAGTTGCCAAATTCTAGGTTCTGTTTTATTTGCTCTTACAGAGTGTAAGAATAAAGTTACCATCTAATGGTGTTACTGAAGCACTCTCAATAAATGAAAAGGTTAAAATACATACCATTTTGCTTGCAAGGAGTTCCACCAATGATAAAACATCAGTTATGTGACACAAGGTCCTCTCTGAAGAAATTTCCAACTGTTTATCAAATATCCTTGACTTGTCTAAATAACAAGATACATCAGAATTCATGTCAAGGACACAAGAGACCTCATTACACCCTGAAGATTGTCCAAACTTGTCCTTATGGATCAGGATAGTTGAATTTGATGAATTTGCCGTCAGATCTTGATGCATCATTATTCCCGAGTAAGCATTAAGCTCTTTTAAGAGTATTGACATAACAACCTCCACAGATGCCACATCCTTTGAAAATGGGCAATCAGCACACTGATAGAACTTAGAAGGACAGGAAACTGCATCATCAGATGAACTTTCTCTTTCAAGGAACAAGACCAAGGATTTTAAAACAATTGCTGTTAAATTATATTTTCTTGAGCTGAAAATTTTATCCTCATCCAGGTAAGCAAAAACATGAAGAATAGTCAGAACCACTGAGGTATCATACATATGCTTCCGCAAAATGTTGTAAGCAGCCTCACAAATAAACTCAGCATGGCCTATAGCTGCACATATTGAAGAAAATATTATGCTCCCTGCTACCAATTGGTCAGCTGAAGCTGCTACAGAGGACCACATTGAATTTACACCACCAGCAACATCATTAATTATCAAATCACTTTCAGCAACAGTTCCAGAAGGGACAGCAGTATAAAGCATTAATCTTCCATCTAGAAGGAAATCCTGAATGAGACCCAGCAGTTCAACCAGACATAATTCAGAAAAAAGGGTCCTCCCCTCCGCATCATACATCACTAGACCAAGAAAAGAAAACAATTTAAAAAGACAAAATTAAAGAGACCATATAATATACATTACAAGATCAAAAATAGGTACAGCATATCTTACAATAAACAATTCTAAAGAAGTGATCAGCAGCTACCTGCATTTATGTGTCCAGCAAAAGACTTTAAGCAGGGGATGAAATCTCTACTCGTAGAGCACTTCTGAGAAGTTGCCATGGTGTAGTTGAGAAGCAACAATGAGAAGAAAACACAAACCTTCTCCCTGAATGAAAAAAAAAAAATGATTGGGAAAAAATATAATGTCAAAATCTATTTGTCAACCAAATTTAGCAGCTACTGGAACAAAGGAAAGTCAGTAGACCTAACATGAACCAAGATACCATAGCATACACATTTATGGCAATGCAATTACCTGGCTGATAGTTTCTCTTCCATTTTAAGAGCAAGTGCAATCTTATGCACCATAAAATCTGTTTGACTGGCCAAAGAGCACCAAGCCTCACAACTTCTTGTGGCACAAATAATTCTAGAGATACTGTTACTTTCCTTTACATTAGAAAACACAAAACAGTATCCTGGCATACTCTCACCTGCAGATCCAAATTTACTTTCAGATGAAATCTTCATCCTTTCATTACCAGGAGAAGGTTCAGTTTCCACCTCTGTTTGAGAGCTTTGAACACCAGCTCCCCCTGCAGGCATAGTATCACACAAATTACTTCTGCTACTCACTAGAATGTCAAGAGAAGCCTCATTATCAAGTTGAACTAACTGGTCCACAGTTTGTGACTTATTATATCTCAACCTATTAGAATCAATTTCCACATCAATGACATCAAAACTGCAAGAAGATGTGAAACTTTTCTTCTCATGACAGAATCCTTCCTGGATGCTCTCATCAACTAAAGGTTTAAAATTATCAGTTTCAAATGATTCAGGGCCAGGAAACTTAATCTCAGGAAGAGTAGGAGATAGAGGCACTTCCATCGCCATCCTGTAACATTTCTCATCACCAGCATTATCCAAATTGAGCAACTTCATGTAGTCTCCATTCACCACGTCCTCAAAACTAGCATCAGTTGGAATAGAACAGCAAAGGACATCTTGGTGCACCTCTTCTGTTTCAGTAGGGTAATCAACAAGTCTAGAGGGTTGTTGGAATACATTTGCATCTTCCTGGACTACCGTATCTAGTTTTTCCTTCTGCTTTGGCTGCCCACAGTCATCATGTGGCATAACTACTTTCTCATCATGAGATTTTCTTCTCTTTTTGTGAGAAAAATCATGCTTAGCTTGGGAATAGGACTGTGAATTAGGTCTAAAATGCTTTACCTTATCAGATGATTCATCCGTTCTTCCTCTGAGCATTCCACGCAAGACAGATAGATCATCTTCTACGATCGTGTAAAACTTCTTAATCTCAGAGCATGAATGCTCAATAGATTCTATTGCATCAGGTATCTGTTTTCTCTTCCTATTACGCACAACAACTTTGGCCCCAGCATCAGTAGAAAGAGGACTTCTAACACTATTTTCAGCAACCACAGCAAGATTTTTATTGTCTCTCTTTTTAGCAACTTCAGCAGACAAGTCTCCATTCAAGTTCTCTTCTCCCTGTCTTGCAGGTGTGCCAACAGATAAACTACCCTTTTCCTGTGAGCCCACCAACTGTCTATCAGAAAAAGATGCTGTGCTGGAATTTATTGCAGAACTCTGTAACATTTTTTGGTTAGAGCCTCCAAGCAGAGACTCCAACTGAGAATCAGTAACTGAGATTGATTTATTATAGCTCCCTCCGTATAGAGGAAGCAGAGGTGAAGAATGTTGAAATGTTCCCCATTGAGGGTTAGAGGCAGTTACACCCATGCAATTACCTGTGAGAAGTTGATTTTCATCCTGAAGGTTCGTTTGACATGATCTTAAACTGCATAACTTTCCCTTCAACTCTAACCCTTGCAAATTCGTGATGTCCTCAGGCTGCAAAGCAACCAAACAATTTCAAACTCAACCATGATCAGAAGCTTATCTAGAAAAAAATATTAAAAGGAATTTCTGGTAAAAATAAACCAGATTGAATGATTAAAAATTTTCCTAAAAACTGAAGTAAGAGTGAATGGGCTTCTTGAATTAAAATAAGACATAAAGGCCACTCAAAGGTATAGAGTAAACACCTTTGCCCTTATCTCCCCACCCATTCTTTAATTTAGTTCTCCACAGGCAAGAAAATTGTTTGAATCAAAACCAATTCCTATAATTGGAGTAGCATCTCTACCTAAAGAGCCATGAACCTCAAGTCAAGAAAAATCAACTATGTTTACGATCAAATGCCACCTGTATGCTATTTATCAAGATTAAATTTAAATTCCATAACCACTATCATCAACATGAGCAACACAATTTAATATTGGAAGCAATAGCAAAACTATGAACTTGAGTTAGACGCTGACCTTTTCAACATCCTCTTTACCACCGGTGCGGGTTGAGAAACATTTATCCATTAAATCCAAGCGTTGATAAAACTGCACCAAATTCAGCTTCAAGCCACAAAGTTCTTGTTGCAGAATACTGCTACGAAACCTTTCCAACTCAGCCACTTCTTTGGCATGCTTTACTTTCTGCTTTTGAAACTTGAGTTGCTTTTTCAAATGCTTTCTTTTAGCAGTTTCAGCACTCGTATCTTTTTCATTTGCATCAGTCAAAGCATGATCTTTTAATCTAGAGTACGAAAATGTATCTATCTGCTTCTGTAGTTCTCTTATCTTCACCCTAGCTTCTTCCAGCTGTTTAGACAGGCAATCAGCACGAGATTTTTCTTCCATAGCCATTTTCTTACTTGCATCTGCAAGCTTTTTTTTCTGTTCTTCTTTCTTCATCTCTGCAACTTCCTGTTTTTTCTCACTAATAGCCTTCCCTGTTTCAATTTTAAACTCCTTTTCTGAGCCAGATTGCAGCAACTCCGAAACCAAATGAGGTGCATTTTCATTCTTTGAAGATTTGTCATCAATATTTGTATCCTGTTGGTCAAAAGTAACCTCACCTGATTTTTTGGAGAGAGCAAGTTTATGTGTCTCCTTCAGTTCCTCAATCCTTCTTTTAGCATCTTGCAACTGCTTAGACAAAGAGTCAGCATGCAGTGTTTCCTCAACAGCCCTTTTCATATTTGCTTCAGCAAGCTTCCTCTGCTCTTGTGCTTTAGACATCTCCAAATCTGCACGTTTTCTTTCTTCAACAGCTTTGAATCTTTCTGCTTCCAGATTTTTGCTTGCCTCCTTTAACTTTGACGTCTCAGAAACCAGCTTGGCATTTGCTTCATGAATTTCTCTATTCAATGCCTCCAATTGAAGCTTATAGCCTTCAGCCTTCTCTCTTTCTAGATTGGCAACCCTCCTTTCTTCATCAGCCTTTTTCACATTTTCTTCAGCAAGTTTCCTTTGCTTTTGTGCTTTAGACATCTCCAAATCTGCATGTTTTCTTTCATCAATAGCCTTCATTCTTTCTGCTTCAAGTTCTTTACTTGCCTCTTTAAGCTTTGACATCTCAGAAACCAGCTTGGAGTTTGTTTCATGAATTTTTTTATTCAATGCCTCCAATTGAAGCTTATAGTCTTCAGCCCTCTTTCTTTCCAGATTGGCAACCCTCTTTTCTTCATCAGTCTTACCCTTCTCAGCTTTCAGGCATTTCAATGTTTCAGCAGTTTTCTTCTTCTCCACTTCTGCATTCTTTTTTTCAGAATCCACCCTTCTCTTCTCTGTCTCAAGCAGCTCCTTCAGACAATTGATTTCCTTCTCTCTATCAGAAACTAGATCTTGAAGAACCTTTATCTCTTCATTTTTATCTTGACCACCTGTTACTTCTTTCTGCTTTAAGCAAGATAACTTAGACTTCATAGCAGTGATCTCCATCTCTAAAGAGGTTTTTGCGGCCAATTCATTTTCTCTACCATCTTTCTCCATGTTTGCCTGCACCTGCAATTCCTCAATTGCTGCAAATCACAAGGTTAGATATTAGGCACAAAGAAAGATAAATAGCTGAATAGACAAATAGATGCCATTCACGTCCTACAACAATTCAATAAAATTATTAAAAAAAAAAAAAAAAGGAGATCCAGTACATGTACTAACAATAGCTTATCCAGTAACCAGCACCAAATTTGGACAGAAAGTATAAAAAGAATGAACTTCTGATAAAATCAGAAGGTACCAAATTGATCCCCATCATACCGAGCAGAAGATATGTTTTCACATGTTAAAACATTGCCTCTTGTAAGTAGACAGTTCTTTCATTGCATCATCTAATATATAATTAAAACCCGAGCCATGATAAGCTACATGCTAAAAAATGAAGATATAGGTACAAATTTTTCTCCTTTTACCTTTCTTGAGATTGGCGTTCTCCACCTCAAGCTCATCAATTTTCCTATCATACAACGGCATGGCTTGCTTGAGGAATCTCCTCCCTTTTTCTGCATTTAAGTATTTCTTCCTCCACTGGAAAAATAAATAAATTATTATCATGGACTGATAAAAATACAAATCAATACTAAAAACATAAAGACGGAAGGAAGGCGAAAGAAAGATTGTCGAGCCAAAAACACACTGACTCAAACAAAAAAAAAAAAAAAATACCGATTGACAGCAGGGTGGGACTTGAATATCGTCCGCCGGTGCTCCAGAAGCGCCAGCCTCCGTTGCTCCTGGAACCTCCGAGGCCATTGCTACAGAAATCGAGAGAAGAGAAAGAAACCATCCGCATTAGAATTCAAAAAAGATGAAATCACAGAGAACAGGGAAGAGAGGAAGAAAATATACATCAAAAAAATTAGAATAACCACAAAAACTTACTTCAATCAACTTCAGCCTTCTACCTTTGTCAGTTTAAAGCTTCCGTTGGAATCATATTCATGAAGGAAGAAGAAAAAGAAAAAGAAAAACCCTAATCTCCCACAGTGCAGATAGCAGAAGTTAGACGATGATAAACCCTAGTGAGAGTTCGAAATTAGAGGGAAAGATGGCATCTTGAAGCCACCGGCGGGTTAACCCGATACAAAATCGGATTTTGGGACTTTTCATAGGAAGTGGGTCGGGTCCAATCTAATTTGCGGATAATTGAAAAGCTCCTCTCGCTATTGTACGGAGTTTCTCGATATTTATTTCCTCCTCTTCAAATCATCAGTTACCTAGAATAAATAAATATATATTAAAAAAAACTATTATGTATTTAGCTTCAATTAAAAAAAATTATTATGTAATTCAAATTATTAGTTAGAGTAAAACCTTAATACTTGGAGTCTTTTTTATTTAATTATTTTTATCTCATAATCTTGTTTTATAATTGTATTGATTTAAATTGTAAAATAAAAATTACCATAAAAAGCTCATAATATTAAAAACTTAACTCACATCAAATAATTAGTATTTTATAGTTTAAATTAATTTAGATCGTAAAAATACTTTTTTGTTTTTATTTAACATTTTAATACAATTTAAATTATAAAATAAAAAAACAAATAAAATATAGTAATCTCTTTTGCCACAGTAAAATAATACTACTGTGCGTTTGCTTTCAATTAAAAGATCATAATATTAAAAACTTAACTCACATCAAATAATTAGTATTTTATAATTTAAATTAATTTAGATTGTAAAAATACTTTTTTGTTTTTATTTAACATTTTAATACAATTTAAATTATAAAATAAAAAAATATATAGTAATCTCTTTTGCCACAGTAAAATAATACTACTGTGCGTTTGCTTTCAATTAACATATTAAATTAATTTCTTCTTAAGAATCATGCATATGGAGATTAAGATATTTTTGAGAATTAACTTTTATTTAGACTCTTTAAGAAATAAAATTTGTCTTTGAATACTTGAATTGGTATGAAACTAATCACTATTTTGATACCATATTAACATGTAAGAGAGAGAGAGAGTTTGGCAAGGAGACATTATGGCTTACCTAATAAGATAGAAAAATTATGGAAATTAATATTGTGGAGATAAATTTTTATGGAATTTTATTTATGAGAATAAAAATATTAAACTTTCATGAAAATATTTTTATGAGATATTGATTTTCATT